CAAAGAAGTAACTAAGACTTGCTCTGTCTGCTCATTAAACAATTCTCAGAGCAGATGCCCTCTGGATTTAACCTCCCTAGTTCAAAGACATGGCTTTTACTATCTGGAAGAGGACTGGCAAGTAGATTTCACCCAGTTACTGCCATATCAAGGGTTTCAATACATTCTGGTTTTTGTAGATACTTTCATGGATGGATTGAGACCTTCCCTACCTGGACTGAAAAAGCCACTGAGATTAACATGGCCCTATTACACTAAAGAATTCCCAGATTTTGTCTTCCCTTGTCACTTCAAAGGGACAATGGACCTCCTTTGCCTCTGAGATTATTCAATAATCAGCCAAGGTCTTAGGAATCAAATTCTACTTATACTTTTCTTGGAGGCCCCAATACTCTGGGAAGGTAGAAAGAGCTCACTGGATCTTAAAATTACATCTTAAAAAGTCAGCCCAGGCAAATGGTTTATGAAACCTTATCTCGAAAATACCCAACATAAAAAAGAGCTGGTGGAGTGGCTCAAGTGGTAGAGCACCTACCTAGCAAGTGTGAGGCCCTGAGTTCAAACCCCAGTATTGTGAGGAAAAAAAAAAAAAAAAACAAGAGCTATGTCAGGAAACAACCTTACCCTAGAAAAAGGTTTTACCACTGGTCCTTTTTTAAAAAATTTAATTCTAAAACAGCTCCTGTTTCTTCTCTGGGACTCAATTCTTGTAGGCCTTGTATGGCTCACCTTTTCTTAGACATTTCTATTTGATCATCCTATTTGATGAGGAATAAACTTCACTAACAAAACATGTTATTGCTTTGAACAAATTTCAATAGACTTTAAAAGAATTTGGTCTTAAGGTCTTGCCACAACCAGGATGGCCAACCAGGCCTGGTTCTTTGGTGTTGAGAAAGATCTGTAAGAATAGTCAGACAATCTCATGATTAACTCCTCCCTGGAAAGGTCCTTTTCCTGTCCTCTTTCCATTCCTACAGCCATCAAGGTTCTTGGCATTTCAAGCTGGAACTGTCACAGTTAAGTTAAACCATGGAACTCACCACAGGAACTTCACCTCTAGGCACAAAGGCCACTTATTCTTGATAACCTTGATAAGACGTAAAGTACTCATTTCAAAAGAGATCCAGATCAGTAATTTTCACTATGTATTTGTGAAATTATCATCTTTTGTTTTACTTATTCCCATTTTAGAAACCAACTTTTTCCTAGACTGGGTTCAGCATTTTGCCAAAAGAATAAACAAAAATAATTGCTAGGTTTGTGTCTTACTGGCCACCTCCAGCATTTCTGGGTATTCCCCACTCCAGGAATCAGACCGGAAATTCCTCCAAATTCCCATACATGAGACAGCAGGACAACAGGTTGCTGAAAACCTCTTTAACATCTTAAAGGATACAGCAGCTCAAGGTGCAAGGGGCTACCTAATAACAGATTGGCCATCAGGTTGTTTGCAAAAGTGGCCCTGATATTCCACCCTTCCCTGAGTGCATTTCCTGTGCGACAAGTTTCACGCAGCATCTCCCATCAAGCATGGAACCCATTTCCCTTCCTCTAGCACCTGAGCTGCCCTCGTTACTGGTGTTGAGAACACAATGTAATGAAAAAGATGGAAGGAAGGGACTTCCTGTGCCTTTGCTTTTTTGTTCTTTTGGACCCCTGCTCCTTTATATAAGTGATCCTGGCTAATGCATGCAGGATGCATGGCAATCCTGTCCCGCTTTCTCAGCCAAGGCCTCAGACATGGATGAGAACCTTGCCTGATTAGTCACGCTGCTTAGCTGACTCACTGATTGTAGAGACAGGAACGCATCCTCTGAACACAGCCCAGAACTGCCCAGGTGACCCACAGACTCCTGAGCACTAAGTAGTTGTCATTTTAAGCCACTGAGTCTGGGGATAGTTTGTGACACTGCATTGCTGTGGCAAATAGATAACAGATACAAGGTATGTTAGGGGGAAATCCTAGCTAGTGCTTGACTCACCAAGGTGTGTGATCCAGGGACTGGATCTCCCAAAGGTGGTACATGTTTCTAACTTCCAGGAAAATGCTGTAAGGTTGTAGCAGGGCCTGGGGATCACACCTGGTGGTGGAATCAGTAATCTCTTTGGATCTCACATGAGAATTCTAACGGATCTGATCTATTCCCCAGAGATTCGGGCACTGGGAACTTACGGAAGCTGAGCATGAAGCTGGGGAAGAGATGTAACCCGCTAACCAGAGTCCTCCTTGAAGTCTACATTTTATAGGTATGCATTTTTATATGGTGAATGTGAATGAAGAACAAAGAACACACATGGCCTCAAATCTTGGATGAACCAAATGGGTCCCAAATTCTGCCTGGAAGTAGATTGAAGTGGGGGAGACAAGCTGAAAACCCATTTTATACTTCTCTGCCAAAAAAAAAAAAAAAAAAAAAAAAAAAGTCAAGGGAAGAGGTAACAGGGTCGTTGCAGGGATCTGCCAATCAGAGCATGGAAAACAAGGCACAAGTAAACCTTGCTCACTGCTCCACCTGCTGGTAGCATCCAGCTCATTTCTGTCTCTGTTCCTAGATTTACTTAAAGCAATCTCTAGGGTCCCACAGGTGTCCAGATTGTGCATGTGCCCCCAAACCTGCCTTGCTGCCCATCTCCATCAGGATGAGAAACTTAGCAATTGGCCACCAAATTCTGTCACCCAAACGTGTACTTCTCTTTCCATTCCACTCCCAGGCTCCCCACCTGGAATGTGATCACCTTTAAACTGAATCTGAGCTTGTCCACTGGACTGAAATGTCAATTCTGAAATCTTTCAATTCTAGTTCTTCCTGTATCTCCTCCTGGTCCCTCTCTTCCTATCCATGTCTCTTCTTTTGCTTCCAAGACTAGGTTTGGTACATACATCCCAAGGGCCCAAGTACTTTGGGCTCTCCATCCTGCCAGCCCAGTGTCCTCTGAGAGGCCCTCAAAGTCCAGGGCAAGAGGCCCCAGGCCTTCTGATGCTGGCCCAGTGGTGTGAGCCCATGGCGTCCTTCTTCTCCCCGTGGGCCCCTGGAGTGGACATAATGAGGACGTTCACACATCCTTGGTGGGTGTGCCTCCCCCAAGCTGTAGACACTGCTCCAAGGCTGTGACCACTTCTCAGTCAACCTGTGGGCTCAGCATCCCAGGGGTGCCCAGCAGCACTTTATTTAACAGGCCCACAGCAAGACAGGGGTGGCTGGCAGAAAACCCAGGAAGTGCCAGGCACAGCCAGGCCAACAGCCACCCAGGTTCCCACTCAGCACACAGGAGGTTCCCCGCTTGGCTGGAGGGTGGTCTGTGAAAGGAGGTTGTTGGGCCTGCCTGACGCTCGGCAAGCCATGACGGTAGCCGGACGACCACCTGGGACCACACGGATGACACTGCTTAGGCACCCCAGGCCCTATCACCTCTTCTGCGCAGGCTGCCGGCCACCTCAGATCCACGCTCCAGCTGCAGCGGCCTTGGACCTTCGGACCCCTTGGCCGAGCATCTTGGGGCACAGCCTTCGGGAGTCTGCTTCCAGCTTCAGGGCTGCAGAGGCACCTCAGCCATGACCACTGCGTCCACCGGCTAGAGGCCGAAATTGCATTCCCCAGAGCTGCGCAGTAAGAGACCCTCCCCCAGCCTGCCAGGTACGCTGAAACGACACAAGTGCCTCCGCTGAGTAATGGGAAACACAAGGCAAGCGTGTGGTCAGTGTTGGCCGCCACCGCTTCTGTTTCCTCCTGCCCATTCTCGCTCACACCAGCACTGAGCCTTGTAATTCCCCATTCGGGAAAAATGAGGGACATGTCATTTACTGGGACCCTTTCCCAGTTGGACTTCAAGAGAAGGCCCTGGTGTGTCCCCTAAGGAGCAAGTTCAGAGATTCGTCCTCACATGGCTCACCCCTCAACACACCATATTGCTCAGGAACTCTGCAATCCAAAATGCAACAAGAAGGCCTCAGGAAGTGGTGGCCTTGAGGGAATCCTGCACCCAAAGAAGGCAGTGCCTTCTCGTCCTCCATTGGCCCTCCGCTTGCAGTCCGTACCAGGCACCCGCTAGTGTCGGGTTGGGCTGTCTCCAAAAAAGGGACTGCAGGACTCGGTTCTTTAAGAACAACAGCCACTGCTGGGGGTATACCTCCCCATGCTCCTTGCCTGGGATGTGACCCCAGACAGTGCCCCCTCAGCGGTCCTATTCTCTCCTCTGCCTTGGGCCTACATGAGGTTCCGTGTAAGCATGGGAGTGGTGTCCTGCTTGGTGCCCTGACCCCCACCTACTAAGCTCACCCTGGAATCTGTCGGGTCCAGCACAGCCTCTGTACCCAGCTGATGTTCCCCACAAGGGGAGTGGCTCTTGCCCTAGGAGCTCTTGCTCAGAGGGCCAGTGTCCGCCATTTCCAACACCCTCTTCACGCATCACCCCACTCACGTAATGGTAGGCTACTCTTTCCTATACCATTTTTTTTTCTTTTTTTGGCTGTAACTGGGGTTTGAACTCAGAGGGCCTGGTAACTTGCTAGGAAGAAACTCTACCACTTGAGCCACAAACCCAGCCCTTTGGTACACTCCATCCATCTCAGCAAAGACTTTCTGTCTCTGTCTCTGTCTTTGTCTCTTTCTCTCTCTGCTGCTATGCTGGTGAAAAAAGATGTCCCATTCCACCTCTTCCTCTCACTAATGCAGAAAACAATGGGCCCAAAGAGAGTAAAGGGACTTGCCCAAAGTCACACAGATAATAAGGAATTGGAGTCAGAGCTTGGGCTAGGTCTATCTGATGGGACAGCTCAAGCTCCCTCTGCAGGCAGAGACCTTCCATCCTCCCTTCTGCCTTCACCTCCAAGTAGTTGGAACTATAGGTGTGTATAACCATGCTAGTCTATGAGCACTTGGAATCTAAATATCCCAGGACAGAAACCTCTTCCAGTCCCCGGCACACAGCGCCATGTCTGAAATCTCTGCTGGGTCTTCAGTGGCCATTGGAGCCACAGCCAGCTCTACATAGCCATCTCAGGGTCCAGTCTGGCTGCTCAGAGGATACCGTCCATGACCACAGCCAAACCTGTCCTCACTGGAGGGGGACATGCTCTGGCAGGCCTCCTGAATCTCACTAATGGTACCATGGAGATCAGCCAGGTCACCGGTCAGGGCCCGTTGATTCCCTGTGGGGAAAGGGACCACAGCCTATTAGGGCACATTTCTAGTGCAGGCAGCAAGCATCTGCCTCCCCAACTCCTGCACCCAGCTACCTTTGGCAGCCAGGGGCACAGTGGGCACAGGTCCTGAGCAAAGCCCAGGAGGAGTTCTGCGAAAGTGCTGGCTCAGCGATTGGCAAGGATGTGGAGGAAGGTGGACTTCCCATCCACATGTCTGTAGTGGAGTTCAGCTGCAACAAGTGACCACAAAAACACAAACTTTCTCCAGGACCCCCCAAGATTCCTGGTCACATGACCTTCAGCTTCTCCTGGGCCAGTTCTTGGCTTTGGGCTTTTTTTTTGAGACAGGGTCTAGCTATGTAGCCCCAGCTGGCCCCAAACTCATGATCCTCCTGCCTTAGCCTCCCAAGTACTGGGATTACAGATATGTACCACCATGCCCAGCTAGTTTCTGGCTTTGATACTCTCTTTCCAACTTCTCTCCTTTTCAAGATGTCAGTCTTGCCAGGCACCAGTGGCTCATGCCTGTAATCCTAGCTTCTCAGGAGGCAGAGATCAGGAGGATCAAAGCAAATAGTTCACGAGACCATATCTTGAAAGAAGACACCACCACAAAAAAATAGGGCTCATGGAATGACTCAAGGTGTATGCCCTGAGTTCAAACCCCAGTACTGAGAAAAAAAAAAAATCCTAAGGCTTGGCTGGTGAAGCCACAATCCCCCACTTTGCTGCAGTCACTTTTCCATTCACCACTCTGGGGGGGTGCCCTCCTGGGTCATGATGTCCTCTCCTCCCCTCTGTCACAACTTAGGCTTGACCTCCCAGCCTGATGGATAGAGATGGGTATTGCTGCCTGGCCCTCACCTCTGTCAGAAAGTTGATCTTGAAGCCAGTGGTCTTGTTCGTCTTGGGTTGTCCATCGTTGAGATAGTTACCCATGGCCAAGACAAACTGCGGGGCACAAGGTAGGTGCATGGTCCAGGTGCTCACCTTCCCCCAGGTCGGAAGTCCCAGGGGACAGAGGAGCAGGTTAGGCAACCAGGGGGCAGATGCATTCAAACCTCCAATATCTTAGCAAGCTTCCTGCTATTTTTGAGCTCCAAGGATGCCTGTCGCAAGCACTCGAGACTGCCTCGGATCTCCTCGGTCTTCTCCTGTAGGGTGGCCTGGAAGTGAAGGCTGCGCAGGCGGGTCTTGTATTCCGGAACTGACAGCATCTGCCTCAAAGACAGTGCCAGGATTCATCCATTCATCCATTTTCCACCACACCGTGGGACCCACGGGGGACCCACTGCCCCACCTTTGGGGGTTGAGGGGTGGGATGATGGAAAAGTAAGTAGGATCCCTAGGGACGCTGTCATCCTAGTTACCTTGGCCCTGGGTGGGAACGGGCTATTTAAGTATTAAACTGGGACACAGAGGTCTGAGCAGGGTGGAGGTACAGAAGGGACGTGGGACAGAGGCAGCCCCCACCGCCACCCCTGTCCAGCCACAGCGGGAGCCCTTGGCTTTGAAGGAGAAGGGGGCGTCTCAGCCTAGGCACCTGCAGGACGAACTGGTCCGGCTCGCTGAGGCGGCCGGGCGCCTCTCGGAAGGCCTGGTAGCGCTGCTCCTCATCGGCGTCGGGCGCGAAGAGCAGGAGCTGCGCCAGGTGCGCGGGCTCCAGGCGCCGGGGCTCCATGCTCATGAGCGCCTGGCGTAACTCCGCGGGACTCAGCTTCAGGTGCGCTAGGAGGATGGCTGTGGGCGGGGCCGGGAGTGTGAGGCGGGGGCGGGCCCGGGAGGGGGCGGGGCCCGGCAAAAGAGTGGGGCTTTAAGATTGGCCACAGGCTACTGGGTGGAGCCAAGAGGTGGGCGGGGCCTTCTAAACAAGGGGGCGGGGCGGGGGCGGTTCCAGAGGCGGAAAAGGGCCTTGGGGACTGATCAGACTTAGCTGGTGAGCAGAAACCAAGAAGCTGAGTGGGGCTGGTGGGTGTGGGGAACTAGGGAAGGATCTGCAAAGGGCAGAGTAGAGAAGGTGGCTTGAGATGGGACCACAGCTGAGGGCGGGGCCAATAGGGGGTGGAGCCAATGTCAACCTCTGTGCCCAGGTGGGATTCCCTTAGCCTTGTGCTAGCCAGGTGACAGGTGTCTCGCCCCACATCCTAATCTCAGTCATCCACCCAGGTGGGTCCAAGGCTCTGTGGCCCAGAGGGCCACTGCCTGACTCCAAAAATCCCCCGGGGTTCCCTGGCCCCTCACAAGTGTTGTAGGCCTTCTTGTGGGACAGGATTTCCACCACCTCCTTCTTCCTGAATGGCTCAGGCCTGGGCACCGGCTCTGGAAGGGAAAATAGATAGTTTAATGCGGTTGGAGGTAGGCTGGGGCTACTGTGGCAGAGCCCAGGAGAGGTGTAGCCACAGCCAACCATAAAGGGCCCCCTTCCTCCCAGGCACCACCTGGACTAAATCAACTCCAAGCATCCATGCTCCCCTCATTCCTCAGTCTCCCACTTGGGGTCGCCCAGGTCCAGCCCATCACATTTCATCTATGTGGAATATTCATCCTCCCATTTCCATCTCCTCAGGTGCCCTCTCCCCTGGGCCCTGGGGGCTAAGCTGGCACAGCAATGAAAAACCAGCCACCTCTCAACCTTTCAGATGATTCCTGAATGGACAAGCCTTTTTCCTCCATCCTGGACCACCAGCCCCACACACACAATAACCCTGGCTGCTTAGAATCCCATCCAACCACTACAGAAGATACCAGAAAGGGCTGAGGGGACAGAGATTGCAAGAGATATTTGTGGGCACCTTCTCTTTCACCCTATTCTGGCAGTGTGGCTTGCAGCAAATCACCTAGGAAGTGGAGGTGATCACTTTATCTACCTAGTAGTATTGTCAAGAGATTTGTGTAAAGTCAGCACCTGGCATTTGATCAACACAAAGTAAATACCAGCCATTATTATCTCCATTTTGAGATGGAAAAAACTAACCCAGGACTTGAAAGTTGGAAGACACATTAGGTAAATGTCCACAGTACAGCCCTCAGGGACTCTAAGCCTGAGGACACTACAGAAGGCAGTAAGTGGGGCAGCATGGTGTCTGGGCTTCCCCCAGGGCCATCGGGCCACTCACTCGCAGGTTTCTGGGTACCGAAGTGGAGTTCCAGGTCGAGGTATTTCACCATGTCACTCAGCTTGTCATAGTCAGAGTCCTCCCCAAGCTGCAAGGGAGCATGGGAAATTCAGAGTAAGAGGCACAGCAATAGCTAGACTGCCTTCCCCTGCTCAGCCCACCCTCTGATGGCTATTCTGGGGGTCCCTGGAGGGAGATCAGCCATCAGGCCCCGGGGATGAAGGCAAGAGCAGAAGACTGCAGATGAAGTTAAATCATCCAAGTTCTCAGGAGAGGAGTCATCTTTCCTTGGAGTCAATAATGTAGCCATTCTTCAAACTCTACAAAGAAGCTGGGCCAGAGGGCTTCTCTGCAATGGTGCTGTGAATGGGCTGATGCTAACCAAGGGGAAAGAAGGTAGCTGAGGAGTCTAGTCCTATTTTGAAGGTTCCTTTACAGGGAGTGAGTCCAATGTGGAGCTGCCCTAGACAGCTGAAGTAGCCAGGGGCTGGGAGCTGGACAGGCGGTGGAGTGAGGTAGGTAGAAAGTGACCATCTGAGGCTTAGACAGGGAGTGGAGAGAGGGCATTTGCCAAGAGAGAGACCCCAAAGGGAGGGCAGGTAGAGAAATGAAGTCTTGGGACATGGCTGGAGGGCAAGGAACCTGATACAGACTTGATTTTGGCCAGTGGAAGGACTACACTATAAACCGAAACTAGAGGACTCATCTAAAGCTGGTAGGAGTAAGGTCTCCGGGCACCCTGCATTTAGGTCTCTATTTGTGGCCTTGTCCTGCTGAGAAGCATCACTAGTAACATGGGAAGGCTCCCTGGAGAAATGGGCTGATACCATCTGGGATCTGAGGGCAGGAGACAGCCCTGAGGCCTGGGGGATGCAATGAGGAAAAAGAAACGTGCCTGCTCAGGGTGGATGTGTGTGAGGCATGCTTTTGGTCCCAAGAAGAAAAAAAGATAAAAGGTTGAAGCTGATGGTGGGCACTGGAAAGGAATAGCCCCCCAGGCCATATTGAAAGGAGTATGGTGTCAGACTAGTGTCTCAGACCTGTAATCCTAGGCAGAGTTTGGGCATGGTAGCACACGCCTGTCATCCCAGCTATGTGCAAAGTGTAGATAGGATATCCAGGCCAGCCTGGGCATAAAGGCAAGACCCTATTTGAAAATTAAAGAGTAAAGGGCTGGAGGCATGGCTAAAGAGGTAGAATCCCTGCCTAACAAATGTGAGGCCCTGAGTATTCCAGTACCTCCGAAAAAAATAGGAAGTGTGGTGTCCAAGAACTCTGTTCTCTCCCCTGAGCTGATCAAGCCCCACTGGGAATTCCATTTAGGGCCTGCTCTTTGGCAAGGTCATCCCCACTGGACTATTGAGTTAGAAAACACATTCTTGGGGGAACAACCTAAAGAAAGTTGAGAGGCAGAAGTTAGGAGTTTCATGATTCAAGGCCAGCCTGGGCAAAAAAGTTAGTAAGGACCCATGTCAACAAAACTAGCCAGTGATGGTGGTGCATGCCTATGATTCCAGCTACATAAGAGGCTGTAGGTAGGAGGATCATGGTCTGAGGCTGGCCCCAGACAAAAATGCAAGACCCTAAAAGAAAACCAAAGCAAAAAGGGTTGGGGATGTGGCACAAGTGGTAGAGTGTCTGCCTAGAAAGTGTGAGGCCCTGAGTTCAAACTCCAGAACCACCAAAAAATAAACAAACCAAAGAAATATAAATCCTGTTCATATTCCAGGTTGGTCAGTTTGTAGATAAAGGAATATTCTTGTTCTGTCTGATTTCAAGGGCCAGACAGAAAATGGCAAGGGAATCTTGAGGAGACAAAATTTCAGAGCAATACAAAGAAGGATGGTTAAGATTGTCCAACAGGAGATGGACAGCCTCAACAGGTAGTGAGTTCCCCATCACTCAAGGTAGTCAAGTATACACTGACGATATCGTGTGGGAGGAGATTCAAGCATCAAAGGAGAAAGGGAAACGGGTATGCATTTTAACCAGCTGCCTTTTGTTTTGTGTTTTGTTTTTGAGACAGGGTCTCACTATAGCCCAAGCTGGCCTTGAACTCGGGATTCTCATACTCTGCCTCCCAAGTGCTTCAGTTAGGATTACAGGGGTGTGTGGCTGCCAGCTGTCTCTCCTCTCTCTCCCTCTCTCTCTCTCTCTCTCTCTCTCTCTCTCTCTCTCTCTCTCTCTCTTTCCCCATTGTATTTTTGGCTCAGGGACACAGTCTGGCTTCCATGTGTGCATTGACCCCCAGGATGGGCATGTTCTTGAGCTGGGCCTCCATTCCTCTCTGCTCAGGGTGACGTTGCAAGAGTCTGGGAGGATGAGTCTTTGCTGCGATTCTGGCCGCCACCCCTGCCGCAGTGCACCAGTGAGTGGGCCCCACGTTACCTACCTGACCCCAAATGGTGCCTTCCGAGTTCTCCACCTGCTCCCACCGCAAGCGCTTGACACTCATGTGGCTGGTCTCGCTGCGCCGGTGGCCCAGGCCCCGGGACAGCACGGGGGGTGCACAGGGCACGGGTGGGGGCAGGGGCGGTGGGGGAGGGGGCGGGACCGGGTGACTGAGTTGGGGGTGGGGCTTGGCTAGTGCCTGAGGAGGGCCCGGGAACCGTCAGAGGGGCGGGAGCTGGGCTTGGGGTCGTGGAAGGGCAGGGGTGGTGGTGGCGGGGGCTGAGTGGGGGCGGGGGAATGTGGTCAGAGATGGAGGAGTAGGTCAGGGAGCTGCCTTCCTCGCTGGTGCTGATGCAGTCGCTTGCGCTGCTCCGCTCGTTGGTCACAAAGCTGCCCTGGTCATCGTGAAAACTCATCTGATTGGGAGAAGGCAGATGAGAGGAAGGCGATGGGCCCACATGGACCAGAACGGGTGGCTATGGGTACGCCGTGGTGGGGGGGATGCAGAGTGGGCTAGCCTGGGGCTGAGGGTAAAAGAGCCTGAAGACAAGGAGAGGACAGCCCAAGGCTGTGGGCTGGAGAGCCTGACAAACTGTAGGATAGCCCAGGACAAGGAATGGACTGACCTGAAACAAGGAGTATGGGGTAGCCCCAGACAAAGGATGGGCTAGCCTGGGGAGAGGGAAAGGAAAGCCTAGTGGTTTAGTCTGAGATACTGAGTGGGATAGTCTGAGATAAGGAATGGGGTAACCTGAGACAGTATATAGGATAGCCTCAGGCAAGGGGCAGGATAGATTTTAACAGGGGATGAGGTAGCCTGGAGCAAGGAATGGATGGCTCCCGCCAGGGAGTGGGGTAGCCTGAGACATATTCTAAGACAGACCTGGGCACATGGAGAGATAATCCAAGGCAAACCCCAAGGGCAGAAGGTATCCTGAAGGACTCTGGGGACACTGTTCTTCAGTAGGTCCACACACCCCCTCCCCTTCTACCTTCCACACTGGCACACCCACCTCCTCGTAGTCATTTTCAGGGGTCAGGAAATCATCCACGATGGTGACCCGGGGGCCCAGCTGCTCGCTCAGCACATCCAGGAAGCGGTCTGCATCCCGGCTCCGCATAGGATGGGAAAACGTGAAGAGTTTCCTGCGGCTGGGTGGCCGCACAGGGTCTGGGCTCAGGGGACTGTCCGGACGGATAGGCCCTGGGCCTGGCTGCGGGGAGGGTGCCCTGCTGCTGTCCAGGCTGGCATAGGGGTGGGACTCAGAGCTGCTGGGGGAGGCCAGGCCCCCAGAGCACAGCGGGTCATAGCAGGGAGAGGGTAGGAGCCGTTCACTTGGCCATGAGACGCTGGACAGGGTCCTGGGCCCTGGGTAGGGGATAGAAAATGAGGACCCCTTTCAGCTAGTACCTGATTCCAGGCACAGGCTGGAAGGGAGGCCCTTGAGGGCAGGTCAGCTCTGTGTCCCAGGGCAAGCTACTTTCCCTCTCTGGGCACAGACCCTGGGCAATCTTGCCTCCCAGGCTTGAGTGGGAGGGAGCACCAATTAGCCCCAGGTCAGGCCAGACTCTAATTTATCTGGAAATGTCCCATCCTGGATTCACTGAACACAATCCAAGGGGTGCTGGGATTACAGGCACGCCCTACCATGCTCCACCCCTGGTCCTGCCTTCTGACTGCAGAGAAACTTATCTTTCCAGGTATGCCATTCACAGAGCAATGCAGGAGTCACGGGCTAACATGAGGACTTCTTTGGGGGGAAGCCCTTTTCTTTTGCAGATCCACAGTGGGGACAAAGGAGAGGCTGGGACAAGACTGACATTGTGGCTCCTACCATGCATGGAGGACTCTGGGGTTCCCCACGAGTCAGTCAGAGGGTGTGCCTGGGAGTGGGAACGACACCCAGACAGACAGACAGCCGAGAGGACAGAGGATGTGCCTGGGAGTGGGGACGACACCCAGACAGACAGACAGCCGAGAGGACAGAGGGTGTGCCTGGGAGTGGGGACGACACCCAGACAGACAGTCGAGAGGACAGAGGCCAGTGCCCCCTGAAGATCTGAGGCTAGCTGAGTCCTTACCTGCTGTGCCCATGAGGCTTGGACCTGGAGGGGAGGCCCGGGATTTGGACACGGTCCCCATCTTCCCTTTAAAGCTGCTGTTCAGTCGAGACTCAAGCTCTGCGTAGACAGCTGACATCTGGTGGGATGGGGTGGGAGGCCAATCAGAGGTGAGTCCCACCCACTCCCACTGTCCCCACATGGACCCAACATGGTCTTGGAGGCCAGGCGTGGGTAGTCTGTCCCAGCCAGAAAAAAAACACCAGCATGCCGTGCTCTGGGGTCCCCTGAATCTCACCTGATGGGCCACCCATTGCCCACCCCTCACTGCACCCCTGGAAGGCAAAAAAAAAAAGTCTTACCATCTTGGGGTTGGGAGTCTCAGGGAGGGAGGTGCCATCACCAGCCTGGCGCTCCCCTGGGATCAGAGGAAGAGGCATATCAGGGCAGTCGCCGAGACCTTCCGGGAGGGTGCCACAGAGCTCCACTTAGTACATCTGAGCTTTCAGGCTCAGGCTCCAGCCCAGACCCAAGCCAGACCCAACAGGCCTCACAGAACCAGGAGCAGCTCCACTCAGCCCACCCACCCCCATCAGTCCCTGTCATTCCTCATCTCACCAAGCCCATTGTGCAGGAGGGGAAACTGAACCCAGCCTTTCCATCCGGGGCCTTACCGCAGCTGAGGCTGGACTCCAGGCCCTGGGAGTGGAGGCTGCGGCGGCAGATGGAGGAGGCCCTAAGGGAGCTCCGTGGTTGGGGTTCTGGTGTGGGTTCTGGTGTGGGCTCCGGCTCCAGTTCCAGCTCAGACTCAGGCTCTGCTGTGGGATATGCAGGGAAGGCTGGGGACCTGTCCTCTCAGCCTCCACAGGTAAGGAGAGCAAGGGTAGACATGTCTGCACTCCAGACCACAGAGCCTTCTCTGCTTGTGTCTAGGGTAACTGTTTAGGGAAAGTCCTGAGGACAGAAACCAGGTGGCCGGAGCACCTGGGAGCAGCCAGCCTGAGCACAGAGGACAGAGTGGAGGCCCCAGCTGTTCCCAACAGGACACCATGTTTTCAGGGTCTCAACACCCTGTGTTCGGATCAGTGCGGCCCAAACAGGCTGGTAGAGTAAAAGGAAAGCCTTCATCACAGGGTTTCAGGCAGGGACGCTGAGGGGGACAGCTGCCATCATTGCCCTGTCCCCGATCCTGTGACATTTCACAGCCAGCCCTCTAAGCATGCTGGAAGTCTAGAGGAGAGGCTTGAGCCACAGCCAAAACAAAAGGAGCCTCACTGCAGTTTCTCAACAAACTAAAACCACCTGTTCCCCAGGTGGCCTGCTGAGTGTCCTGGGTGAGGACGCCCGCCCACTTCTGGGCAGCACCCACACTGGCCTGGAAAAGCTGCCCCCCAAAGATGCTTGCTGAAGATATCCTGTGAGTCATGTCACCCTGTCCTGCCATGGAGTCCTGCCAGCACTGAGCCGAGGGCCTGACCACTTGTGAAACTCTGCTCACAGGGTCTGCTCCGCCTGGCCCTCTGTCCTCCGACCTGGCCTTGCTCTGTGAGAAACCCCAACCCCACGCTTCTCTGCTGTCCCCAGGCACAGATGCTCCCTGGCTGTGCCTCTGACAAGGCTCCTCGCGAACTGCCCACAGACAGTTGTACCTCTAGCCAGTGTCAAACACCTGAGAACCCCAACATCCTAAGGCAGAGAGCTGTGACGCACCCATTAGCAAGGTCCGAGGTTTAGGACATTGGTCCTAACAACTGTTTTCAAGTTCCTGTGGCTCAGATGAAGTAGGGTGCTATGTCCTGCAGAAAAACATCAATGCTAGGTGAGGCTGCCCACCTCTCCCCATTGGCGACCAGCCCTGGCCTCCTCTTCTGCCCCTCAAATTCACTGAGGTGTCAGAGAGGTGACTGTTCTTCTCTTGGCCAGGTGTTGGCAGTGCAGACACCCAGGTGGAGCAGACCCTGCAGCAGGGGTCACAATCTGCAGACCCTGAGGCTCAGTGCCCTGGGCCACCCATGGGGACTGGCTGGGACAGTGGGAGGGGGTTGTTGAGCAAGGCACAGGTGTCAGCAGGGTCAGGACCAGGTGCCAGGGCTTCCCAGGATGTCTTCGGGACTCCTACTGAAATAATTCCCATTTTGTGCACGAGAAGCCTGAGATCCCAGGCAGTTAGGCAGGGTGTCTGAAATTCTCAGGTTTTGCCGTGTGTGCTACATCAAGGCCAAACTAGGTAGCCATACCCTCAGCACCAAGTCCGGGCCAAGCTCCCGTGTGTTGAGCACAGATTTGCCTGGCACACCTTTGTGTGGGAGGGCAGGTGTACAGCTTCACAGGTGAGAGCAGGGATATGGCTGGTCCCCTGGGGGGCAGGGCAGCTGTTTACCTGTCATGGCCGTGTAGCCCAGGAAGCATGCGATTTTCTCCTGGCAGAGCTCCTGTTCCTCATACGTCAGGAGCTGGTAGATAAACTGCCACAGCACCTGTTTGGCAGGGGTGTCTAGCACAGGGTAGACGTCGACAATGAGGGTGTCGATATTCCTATGGAGGATACAGAAGCAAGGGGTTCATTACTCAGGGGCTCCCTGTGGGGGTGGGGTTGTCAAGGATGTAGGTTGTCACACTACAGAATTCAGCTCATGCCCTGCCCCCCCCCTCAAAAAAGACAAGAGCAGTGGACAGGATTCAGGGACAGGCTTGCTCACACTCAAATCCCAGCTCCACCACTCACCAGCTAAGTGACCTTTCTCAAGTTACTTAACTTCTCTGCCGAAGTTTCCTTGTCTATAAAATGTGGATAAAAATAGCATGTACTACACAAAGCTGTTGTGGAGATTAAAATACATGAAAGGTATTGGGAGCTGGGACTCACTGTATCAGGGAGCAACCGATGATGGCCTGTAGGCTAAAATCTGCTGCCACCTGTTTTTATAAAGAAAGTTTTGTTGGGGATGTGGTTCAATGGTAGAGCACTTGCCTAGCACACACAAGGCCCTGGGTTCAATCCCCAGCATGGAAGGAAGGGAGGAAGGAAAGAAAAAAAAAGAAGGGAGGGAGGGAGGGAGGAAGGAAGGAAGGAAGGAAAGAGGGAGGGAGGGAGGGAGGGAAAGGAAGGAGGGAGGGAGGGAGGGATTATTGAAACATGGTAACAGCCACAAACAATTGTCTTCATTTTGTCTATTACCCAAAAAAAAGCCCAATAAAACAAAAATGGAGAACTGGTAGAGTGTAAAGTGGCTCAAGTGGTAGAGCACCTGCCTAGCAAGCATGAGGCCCTGAGTTCAAACCCCAGTACTACCAAAGAATAAACAAATAACTATGTAAAACAAAAGTCGAAAAAGGGTATGAACAGGTAATTTAGTGAGGGACACAGAAAAACAGCATGAGTATATTAAAAGATACTCACAATAATTAGTAATAAAAGAAAGACAAAATAATAGGATATCATTTTATGACTAAAAAAAACTACCAAAAATAAAAAAACTGGCCAGCGCTAGTGGCTCACACCAGCCATTCAGGAGGCAGTGAAGAGGAGGATCATGGTTTGAAGTCAGCCCAGGCATAGTTTGCAAGACCCTATCTTGAAAAAAAATCCATCACAAAAAAGGGCTGGTGAAGTAGATCAAGGTGAAGGCCCTAAGTTCAAATCCCAGTACCGCCAAATAATAAAATAAAAAGCTGGACCCTCAGGAATTTGTTCGCAGTATATATTAAATACATAGAATTAAATGGGAACAAGAGCTAAGCACACGCTACTCGAGAAAAAGTCATACAGGAAAGACGACCTATGATTCCATCACATAAAACACCATTCTTTTTTCAAGAATACCTTTAAATGTAAGGATGGCGGACTGGTGGCCAGCACAGCGAGAAAAAGTGGAGCCAAAAGGGAATGAAAAGTAGAGATAGAACACATGTCAATCCCTGGACTAATGGATGAGTAAAATATCATGGTGTATCCATGCAATAGAATGTATAAAACTTGGATAACCTTGAAAAATATGCTAAGTGGAAGAAGCCAGATATAAAAACTCACATATTATTGATTCCATTCATAGGAAAGTCCAAACTAGAAAAATCTGTAGACATAGAAAGTCGAGTAGTCATGGCTTAAGGTCAGGTGATGGCGATAAAGGAGTGTGGACAGGAGTGTCACAGTGAAAGGGGATTTAAACTCAGGGCCTCACACTTGTTAGGCAGGCACTCTACCACTTGAGCCTCCAGCCCTATTTCATCTTTTTTTTTTTTGAGATAGGGTCTTGAGAACTATTTGTCCTGGCTGTCTTCAAACCTCCATTCTCCTGATCTCTGTCTTCCCAGTAGCTAGGATTTCAGGCATGAGCCATCGGTGCCTGGCTTTTTAGGTTTCTTTTTTATGTGATGAAATTCTAGGATTGACTGTCGTCATGGTTGCATGCAAAAATCACTGAACTGTACACTCCCAGGGGTGAATTGTACAGATGTGAATTATATCTCACTCAAAGTGTTTAATCAAAACTAAAGGGAATGGATTCGTGAGGGGCTTGGCACAGACCATGTTAAATTATCTTGTGGAAGAGGAGGGTGATGAATACAGCCTACTGCAGTTATGGGGCAAAGACAAAGACCCCCACCCCGATCCCAAGGGCCTGACCTGTGACAAGTGCCCACAGTGGTGGCTTTCATAAAAAGTCCCACCAACCATCCCTGTCTGCCTCACTTCACAGAGAAGAGGATGACCTACCCAAGGTCACGTGGCTGGGAGGTGTTAGAGTTGGGGTTTGTTTTGGAACATCCCTGCCACCCCCTCCTCCCTGAGCCCTTGGACCCAGCTACTGCCTCCATGAAGCCTCCCCGCTAGAGAAAAGGGCTGAAGAGGCACAGGCAGGGAGCCCAGGATGGTGAGGACCTGGGGCCCATCAGGACAGGTCCCCAGCCACCTGTGCTGGAAGAAGCTCTCGAGGGCCCGGCAGACCCCATAGCGCTCAGGAGGCGTGAGCAGGTGCTCCAGCTGCTGGCTGAAGGTCCTCCCCTGGACCCGGATGCTGGAGGGCAGGATCTCGGCCACCCACTGCAGGGAGGTGAGCGCTGACGTCGGGTTGGGGGAATCCAAGGAATCAGAGTCTGTCAGGACCACAGGCAAGGGAGGCACTGGGTCACCCAGCGTCCCCAGGCCAGGTGCAGTTTCCCTGGCAGCTGGGAACTAGCAGCCTCCTGAGCTGGCTGTGTGTCCCTGCAGCTGGGGACAGGGATGGAGGCGGATCCCTGAGCAGCATCTGAATGCTGCGCGCTGGGGGTGGGGGTGAAACTATGGCGCCACCTAGGGGCATCAGGTTTGAGGAAAGAGCACAGCCCTCCAGATTGCTAAATCCCACTGCTGTGGCATGGGGGTCTCACCGCTAGCGAACGGGACGAGCCCTTCCTCCACCACCAGCGTGGGCATCGCGCCACTGCCCTGCAGCATGGACACCACCTTGTCGTGGGAGCAATTCCTGCCAAGTAGACATGGCTCAGGAGGGCCCAACAAGTGAGCCCTGTCCATAGCCACCTGCCAAACCTCCCTGTCCTGCAGGAAGAGGCCACACAGCAAGTCCTGGACTATCCAGAGTTCCTGCCTCTCCTGCTCATTCAGGAGAATCCCAGGCTTCAGGGGGCTTGGACTGCTGCTGTCCCAGGCCTGGCCTTCCCAGGCATAGAAGAAGCAATACCCATGTCACCCCCAGGTAGAGCTCCCCTCTCCAGAGCAAGACACAGATGGTCCCTCCCATTCTATGACCCTAGCATGGAGCTGGATATTTTCTGGTTGGGAGGATGACTGCGGTCTTGACCAGGTGAACGGACAGATTCAAGAGTTCTCACTGTACTGGGCACCAGTGTTTCATGCCTATAATCCCAGCCACTCAGGAGGCAGAGATCAGGAGGACTGCAGTTTGAAGCCAGCCTGGTCAAATAGTTTGAGAGACCCTATCTCAAAACTACCCAACATAAAACAGGGTTGGTGGAATGGCCCAAGTCGTAGAGCACCTGCTTAGTAAGCATGAGGCCCTGAGTTCAAAACCCACTGTGCCAAAAAAATAAATAAATAAAAAAGAATTCTTTCTGTACAAGGATAGACACTGGGGACCAACAGATCAGAGATCAGGACCATGGCTAGGGTGTCCCAAGAGGCAGGAATCTTGGGGGATGCTCATCTCCAAGCTCTGGTGAGCCCTGTGGCCTCTAACCTCATGTCCAATCCATTGAGGAAAAGGATCCGGTCACCCGACTTGAGGGCGGCACTGTCAGCTGGACTGCCTGAAAGCAAGAAGAGAGGGTGCTAGTCAGTGGGGCAGGATCTCTCCCTGGAGCTGGTGGGCCCCATCCTGCCCTGGGAGTCAGATGCTGCTTTCCTATTTCTTTGTTGTTGTGGTGGTACTGGGATTTGAACTCAGGCCTACACCTTGAGCTGCTCCACCAGCCCATGATGGGTTTTTTCGAGATAAGGTCTCACAAACTATTTGCCTGGGCTGGCTTTGAACCTTGATCCTCCTGATCTCTGCCTCCCGAGAAGCTGGGATTACAGGTGTGAGCCATTGGTGCCCAGCCTGCTCTCCTATTTTATGGGTAAGAAACAAGACTCCAAGCCATCCTAGAAATGGTAAAGGACTCACCTTTAAGCATGAATTTCATCTGCAAACCAACCAGAACCCACACCCAAGCACCTTCTCTATGGGGCTGTCAAACTCCGGGCCACTATTCACCCACTCCAATCACCCCAGTACCAGGCACAGGCAGTAGGACAGCCCCTAGACTTCAGAACCCCCCTGAAATTGTTCGAACGGATCAATACTGAACCTCATAGCCTGCCTTCCTCATTCCTTCCAGGGAAACCCACATTAAAGGCTCTTGTGTACATTTTACCTGTGTGTGGCATCCTGTGCCCTCTCCTCCTGGGATCTGTGAGTAACAAACCAGGCAAGGGCTCTAGTACTCAGCCATGCCCTCATTCCTTTTGCTTTTAGTTTGCTTTTCAGATTGGGTCTCAGGTCAACTTTGTCTAGGCTGGCCTCAGATTGTGATCTTCCTACCTCTGACTCCCAAGTAGCTGGGATTACAGGTGTGAACCACCACACCCAGATTCCAGTGGCAATTATCTCCTGACTTGTCAGCCTCACCATATATGAATAATAATAAAACCTGCATTAAAACACAGGGGGCTGGCTGCAGTGGCTAATGCTTATAATCCCAGCTACTCAGGAGGCAGAGACCAGGAGGACTGTGGTTCCAGGCCAGCCCAGCGGGCGGAGGGAGATGTTATCGAGATCCAGTCTCAACCAACAAGCTGGGCATGGAAGTACCGCATCTGTAGGTAGAAGGGTCACAGACAAAGGACAGCCCCATGCAAAAACTCAAGACCCTGCCTGAAAAATAACTGAACCAAAAAGGGCTGGGGCCGGGGCTCACAAGTGCAAGACCCTGAGTTCAAAACCCCAGTACCACAAAAGAAAAGGATGGAAGGGAGAGAGGGAAGGGAGGAAAGAGGGAAGAAAGGGAAGGGAGAAGAAAGGGAAGGGAGGAAAGAGGGAAGAAAGGGAATAAATTCCTTTTATTTAATCCTATTTTATTTGGTAGTACTGGAGGAAGGAGGGAAGGAAGGAAGGGAGGGGGGAGGGAGCGAGATAAAGGAAGGAAGGGAGAAGGGAGGGAGGGAGGAAGAGGGAGGGAAGAAAGAGGGAAGGGAGTAAGGGAAGAAAGGGAGGGAGGAAGGGAGGAAGGAGGAAAGAGGGAAGGAAGGGAAGAAGGGAGGGTGCGAAGGATGGAAGGAGGGAGGAAGAACACATGGGAGCAGCTAACTGCTGGTCTGCCATGGTGGTCCTGCAGATCACATCTGGAAGGGAGGCTACAAACTTAGCTCCTATGGATACAGGATTTTCCTTTCTGTCTTTTGTCATTACACCAAAGTTGCTTTGGAAACAAGTAGGAGAAATGGCAAATTATTAACAAAAATATGCTCTCGGATTTGAGAAGTTCTGAAGGCTGGCTGAACAGAAAGGGGAACAGACAGGGAAGACTTCCTGAGATAGGTGGGATGGAAGGAAGATGGTTTCCAGGGATTAGCAAGGAGGAGAGGGTGACAGTGGTGGTGACAATCCAGTGGCCTCCCTGGAAGGGAGGGCAGATCACCAGGCCAGGAATCAGGAGACTCCAGAGTCTCATCCTTGTCTTGGCACAGTCTCTTTAGGCCTCAGTTTCCCCATTTGTAAAAGATCCTTTTGGAGCATCCGTTGGTTTCTTTCTTCCTTTTATTTAATCCTATTTTATTTGGTAGTACTGGAGTTTGAACTTGGAGCCTTGAAATTGCTGGACAGGAGCTCTACCACTTGAGCCACACCCCCAGTCCTTTTTGCTTTAGTTATTTTTCAGATAGGGTTTCACTTCTGCCTTTGGGCAGAAGTGCAAAGCCACTGAAGCTTGTTCCCACAAGTGAAGAAAGGACCAGACTTCAGCAGGGGTACTGATGGGGTATACCCATCCTGTTGACACAGGAGCACTGTGCTCAGGTTCTGGGAGGGGATGGATGCAGGACAGAGCAGATGACCACCCTGTGGAATGATTTTAGGAGGCAGGGTTCAGTTCAGTGTCAGGTGTCTTCCCCACCATGGAAATGAGTACTCCCTTCCCAGGCCCTGCCTTCTTCAAGATACCCTGATTCCAGGAGCAAGAAAGGGCAGACTGGGTGGCAGGAGGAGAGAGATCCAGATTTGGCAGGTTCTGAGGCCTGGCCACCTCTCAGAGTCTGGCTTCCTGGTGAGTTCCCAATCCACACTGGGCTCTCTGCACCAGGAATGATTGTAGCACAGCCTGGGCAAACACCAGCTCTATCCTGGCTGTTCAGGGAGGGCGGCCAGTCCTCTTTGTGGACAAGGAACAACCTGGATAAGGGGCGGGTGAGGAGGGTAGCACGAGGAAGACTTGGAGTGGAGATGCCCAACCCAGGCCTCTGGCTTATTTGGGACACACAGAAGAGACAGGCTGCCTAAGGTTGGTACCTGGGTGGGTGGGGGTTGGGGGGGCATTGCTGAGAAGCAGCCTGACTGGACAGAATTACCCAGGAGGGCTACAACAAGGTCCTTCACCCGATCCTGGGCCTTAGAGACTCAAGACACTCCTCACCAGGCAGGACAGACTCGATCCAGACAGGCCCATGGCCGCGCAGCGTGAAGCCAAAGCTCTTGTTGCCCTTGTAGACTCGGACGGTCCTGGGGAGAAGGAAGGGATGGGAGTTGGAGGTGGGGGGAGAAGAGGACCAGGACACAGGGGATGAAGATGTCCCCTGTCAAGTTTCTCTTAACCTCCCCTGCTTTGCCAGGTGCCCCACCTCCCGAGCGAGCGCGCTCTCCGCCCAGGTGTCCATCCCGGCTCGTGCCCCCGCGCGCGCCCCCGCGTACCTGCGCGCGCCCCCGGGGCCGGCGCGGCCGCCCAGCAGCGAGGCGGCTTTGCGCGGGGGTGGCTCGTCGGGGCGGCGCGGCGCGGCGCTGGCGCGCGTGGACACCAGGAGGCGCTCGGGTCGCTCCTCGCTGCGGCTCCGGCGCAGCCTCTGCGCGCCCTGCGCCCGTCGTGCGCGACACAGCTTGCCCAGCAGCCCCTGGGACACCACCTCGTCGAAGCGCGCCCGGTGCTTCTTGGGGATGAAGATCCTGAGGGCGAGAACCACAGAATAGGGGCGCGCCCCTGACCGCCATCGCGATCAGAGCCCCCCAAAAGCGTCTCCTGGCTGGGGTGGGGGGCTCTCCAGCTCCTCCCCACGGGTGACCCGGGAATCTTGTCTCCCACTTCTGTGCCCAGACTTGGCGCTCCCAACCGGCCTGGGTCACACCAGGACTGGGAAAGTCAAGTTGACTGCCCGACTCCCCACCCCATTACTCTAACCTCTGCGGGCCTCAGTGCTCCCAAGGCCAGTTCTCCTCCTGCCTGCCTTCCATTTCCAATCTGCCCCCATTCCCTCCTCTTATGCCCTTGCACCCTCCCCGTCAAGCCCCAGCCGGGGATTCCCATATTCTCCCCTACTTGTTTCCAGGTGACTCTCCTGGAGAAAAAAATGCAGCCCCTACCTGCCCAGGGTCTGACTTCCCCAACCTTCTTCACACCTCCACTCTTCTCCTTGCTTCTCCCACGAGCCCGGCTACATTGGTCACCTTGAGTCCCACCTCCAAGCTTTTGCCTCCACCTGGTCTACTCTCTTTTTCTCTTTGTTAAACTGAGCTCTCCTTCCACATTTCACATTGGTTTCTCTCTCTTTCTCTCTCTCTCTCTCTCTCTCTCTCTCTCTCTCTCTCTCTCTCTCTCCAATACCAGTGTTTGAACTCAGGGCTTTGAACTCTACCATTTCAGCCATGCCCCCCACTCAGCCCTTTTTTTTTCCCCAGATAGGATCTCATGTTTTTACCTGCAGTCTTTGGACTCTGATCCTCCTACCCTCTCCTCCTGAGTAGCTGGGATTACAGACTCATGCCACAAAGTCCAGTTTGTTTGTTTAGATAGCGTCTTGATTTCTTCTTCTTCTTCTTCTTCTTCTTCTTCTTCTTCTTCTTCTTCTTCTTCTTCTTCTTGCTCCTTCTCCTCCTCCTCCTCCTCCTCTTCCTCCTTTTTCTTCCCTGGCTTGAAACTGTGATCCTCCTATCTCTGCCTCCCAAGTAGCCTGGTGTGTACCACCATGCCTGGCCCAGCTTCCTTTCAATTTAATCTTACTGTGTTTAGTGAGAACCTGCCATATGTGTCAGCCAGACACTGAGGCTCAAAAATGGAGGGCCTGTGGCTACTGCTTGCCAAGGAGTTACCCTGGAAGTGGTGTGTGGGGGGAGGCATGGTCCCCATGCATGGTTCACATCCTGAATCCTGGGTGTCTGTGTGTCTCCTCTGGAAGCTCTCTGAGAATTGGGTATGTACTTGGGCCGTGGGCAACCATGATGGGCTGTGGTTTGGCAGCTGGAATGGACTCAGTACAGGGGATCTGTGGTGGTCCAATCACATCTTTGAGTAACAGCAGCAGCTAACATCCCAGTGAGTTTCACCATCCCTGGCAGAAGATTCTGAAGCACAGAGGATTTGCACCTTTCCGGGGCTGGCCCTCAGAGACCAGCCTTCTTCGTCTCAGCACTGTGGCCTCCCTGGCGGCCTCCCAAACACTCCCTTCCTTGTTCCTCATACCAGGAGCCAATACCAAGGGCATCATGGGGAGCAAGGAGCAGGGGAGCCTTGCAGCCAGCTAAAATATAACCCCCCAAGTTTCTCTGTGCCACCCCTACAATTTCCCCAGCTTCTGTAGGGAAGTTTAAAAGGCTGGGCAGGCAGAATCAGCTTCCTGGTGGGATGAAAGGGGTGTAGGGTTCCCAGCACGTTATGTGCTGGTCCTGCCCCACAAGGAGCTCTGATCGCAGATCAGATGACCAGGAAGCCAGAATGAATGGGTGCCCACCCGCAATGACTTCCACCAATCTGGAGCCTCAGCCTCAGCAACCAGATGCTCACCCAAGTCTCCAGAGTCCGACGCCTCCATCTGCCTGGCCTGCATGCTCCCTACACCCTCCTAGTCCTCATGCTTCATGCCCAGGGAAAGGACAAGCCCAGACTGCCCACCTCACACTCAAGCCCAAGTCTCTGCAAGGCATCTCACACACCCATCCCCAGAGTCCACTCTGTACAGGGGCCAGGTGATCAGCACAGTTCAACCTTCCAGCAGCAAGTAGAAAAGGCCTTGTCCCCCGGTGGGAACCAGGCTGAGTCACCAACTGGGCAGGTGAAAAAAGGTTCGGTGGCTGGTTCCCTACTTGGTATTCTGGGGGCTGGGCCAGAGGCCAAGGATGCCTGGAGAACCCTTCCTGGCTTGTGTGGGCTCTCCCCACCACTGGGTCTGGCAAGCCCGGGTCTGCTCTGAATTGACTAAAGTCATCACAGCCAAGTGCAATGGAACCTGACTGACTACAACCACAGATCACTACCCCCTTGGACTGACATCCAGCAATAGGTGTCCAAGACTCCCAAATTCCTGCTATGCCATCAGGCCTGAGGCCCCAGTACTCTTCCTGGGAGCTCCCAATGACTCAGTTCTGCTACCAGGGATCCCCCTAGGACCCTCTCTCTCCACCGCATTCCCTGTCCCAGCCAAATTTTCTTCACCTTGATCATCATCCAGCAAGCTGGTGAGGATAGAGGTGCCAGCCAGGGCGCCCTGGTTCACCCTGGTCGCCTCAGCTTAGAGTATGCACAACAGTAGAGAGGCGGTGCCTTCCAAACTCAGGACGGGATGCGCTGGATTCTCACCGAGGTCGCTGGACCCCAGCCCCGGCCCCAGCCCTCTGTCCTGACTCCTCAACCACCTTAGGAAAGGAAAAGTGCTTTTCAATCCCACGACAACTCCTAGGGCTGCGTTCCAGTTCGGAGTACCAGATACCGAAATCTCGCCGTCCACGTACCCACCCAGTTTATTTCTACCATCTCCAGCTCCTCAGCTGCGGTTCGGTTGGGTGCTCACCCAGGGCAGGGAAACCGCTCAAAGCTCCAGCCCCACCCCCTTTTAGGCTGGCCCAAAGCGGGTGGGTTGCGCACGGTTCCTGGGGACGCGGGGAGCGGCGGGGAGCGGCGGGGAGCGGCGGGGAAGCTACCTAAAGTGCCGAGAGAACCCCTGGTCCTTCCCCATCTGGATCCGGGACGGTGGCGCGGCGGCGCTGACCGGCAGCGGGTGGCTAAGCCCGCGATCGGAGCGAGGATACGGAGACTCCACGCGCCTGTGCCCGGCGAGCGCGCGCGGCCCCTCCCGAGCTGTCCCAGCCCAAAGCCCCGCCCCCTCTCTCGAGGGCCCCGCCCCTCCCCGCTCCGCCCCTCTCCGCTCCAACTGGGGACACTTCAGCTAGCTGGTGGTCCAGGCTGTCACGCTCCTTCCCCTTAGCTCCTTCCTTTACTCCCTCCGCGGAAACCTTGCCTACGACTACTCCAGTCGTGGCTACCTGGTCCCTTGCAGTGGCCAGTCCTCAACACCCAAGATTGAACCTGGAAGTCCCGAATGCCTTTTGTAGAGCATGGGAAGGCTTTCTGTAGGTGATGGCCATGTGCCGGGCCTTCAGGACTTATCAGGAGTTGGCCAGCGAAGAAGCCATCCCTACCTACCCAAGGGGAAGAGGCTGGAGCAGGAGGTCTTAAATGCCACGGTCATAAATGCCACGGTCAGCCGTTGAATCTGTCCCCCAGAGCAGTGGCGGGGGCGGGGGGGGGGCATACTACAGTTTATGGATTCAAGGGCATATGGAGGAATTACAGAGGGTTTTGTACACCAGGGAAAGAGTGATGCTGGGAGGGAGCCCAGGGAAAGGTAGGACAAGTGGCTAGATTTTAAAATATCCCCTCAGACAGAGGGTCCACTTGGTGAGTGAGTCTAAGGGAGGAGGGAGTAGCCAGATTGGGACAGCTTCCAGGTGAGTGGGGAGAGGCTGAGTGCAGGCCCTCCCTGAAATAGACAATGCCCTGCTGAGGGAGAAAGGTGAGGACCAGCCAAAGAGGAGGAGAGGGAGCTGACAGGAAAGGTCTGGGTTCCTCCCTGGCTCAGGGCTTGTCCCCTGGAAGTCAGACACAAGAGCAGATGCCAGGGATGTGCCTCAATGATCATTTGTACTGATTCAGAGGACTGACTGCAGGAGAAGACCAAGATCTGAGATGTGCAGAGCAGGTGACAGATTCTGGGGAGTCAGCCTGCAGTCCTGGCAGTCAGTCACAGAGCTGACCATCAGCACACCTCAAAATCCCCCTCCCCCTATCCTGGCTCCAGTGTCATCACACACTGCCAGGTGCTCCCAGGATTGCATTTCTCCCTGGCAGCAGCAGGAAGCCAATGCCAGTGCCCCCTCATGCATGCTGTCCCCACATCTCGACCTCACCCCTGCCAGGAGAGAAATGTCTGGCAACACTCATAGTGAGCACAACTCCCAGACATCCGCAGGGCCACCGCGATCCTCTCATGAGGGAGGCATTTATTGGTGTTTTTCATGCCAGCTGCAATGGCCCAAAACCAAGCCCTCTCAAAGGCTATGAAAAGTGTCATCGTGTGAGGATCAAGGAGATGCAAGCACGAAGGAAATGCTCATGTTGAAGGCAGACACACTACCTCAGGGCCAGGTCCCTGTGTACAGGCACAGGTGCATCTGGCCAGGTTACCCAAGTCAGCATGGCATGGGCCAGGGGACAGGCAATGGTTGGACTTCTCTGAAGTGCTTACCTCTTTGAGGCAGCACTGCTAAAGATCATCCTAGGGTCACAGTTAACTAGGGGCGATTTCCCCGCCACCACTCCACCCTCCCCAGTGGACCTTTGGCACTGTCTGGAGACCATTTTAGTTGTCCTAAAATGACAGCTGGGAGTGGGGCTTGCATCCAGGGATGCTACAGCTAGACAGTCTACATTTCAGGACAGCCCTCAACAACAGTGAAATGTCAAGTCCAGAATATCAATAGTGCCACATTTAAAAATCTGCTCTCAGGGCTGGTGGAGTGGCTCAAGTGGTAGAGCACCTGCCTAGCAAGTGTGCCTGAGTTCAAGCCCCAGTACCACCAATACATATATGTAGAAAAGTCTGCTCTTGGGAAAAAAGAGACACTCTCTGTGGGAAATCAACACATACTATGTGCCAGGTCGACCAGCACTGCCTCATGACATTCTCCAAATAACTGTACTGTGGTGTCCCTGTCACTTGTCACTGAAGCAGTGAGGTGCAAGGGGTACAGAGAGTGCCCCCTAAATCCACATACTCAATCTCTTTTCTGGTGACAGTTACACAGTTCATTTAATATGGTTTCCTACCAAGAACCCTGCCAGGAACACATAGGTCTAACCAGCCCTATGTCCCAGACAAACTGTAAACTTAACATTAACTTGCTTAATGTCATATCAAAATGAGGGGACCGTCCTGATTCCACCACCCCAGCTGCTTCATTCTCCACATCCCTCCATCCCACTCTAGCCCACCCCTCCCCCTCCTCACATATTTCCTAAACCTCTAACTGCTTTCCTGTTCCCTCCTGACCACTTCACACTTTCCAAACTGCCTGTCCTAATTAGAAAGCCATTTTGTCACTTAATCAGACTGGGATTCCTTTGGGAACAGACCCAAATTAGACTTGGAGTGACAGCATGAACTGCTATTATAAAGAAAGACGAGTCCTTTTTATTTGTGACTGGCTCACCTTCACCATGGCGCTGTCCAAGGAGCCTAGACATGCAATACATCTGTGGTGGCCCAGGTGGCCAACACTGGCCACTGACCACTATTGTGCTTCAAGTGTGGAGTGAGACTAAGCTGTACTTTAATTTTTTTTTTTTTGAGACAGGGTCTTATTATGTAGCCCAGTCTGGCCTGGGACTTGTGGTCCTCCTGACTCCACCTCCGGCATGCTGGGACTACGGGTGTGTACAACAATGCCTGACCTGAACTTTACTTTTAATTTTTTTCATTTTTTGGTGGTTTCTAGGGTTTGAACTCAGGGCCTCACACCTCACATTTGCTAATCAACTTTCTTTTTCTTTTCTTTTCTTTCTTTCTATTTTTGAGACAGGGTCTTACTGTATACCCCAGATTGACCTCAAACTTGTGGTCCTCCTTCCTCACCCTCCTCAGTGCTGGGATTACAGGAGTGGGGCTGTAACCTGTGTGTGCATACACACACACACATATTAATTTGTATTCCATCACCTATCACCCTTTGGCTGTTAACCTCACCTTTAAACATTGTCTCTCCTACTTGTGGGGTCCTCCAGTTCTCCATCCCGTTCTGGTCCTGTTGGGTTCCTTGTCCTGTGTGACACTGCCTTCACCCTCTGTGACTAGATACCTAGCCATGATGAACTCCCCTTGGGGACTGCCCCATAGGACTGATGCCAGACCCCAAGAGTCAGACTAAGCCACAGTGGGGACACCTGCTGCCTTGGGAGTAGAGCCTGCCCTGATGGTCCCCAGACTGATATAGCCATCTAGGGATCCTCTGGCGACACTGGGGCCTCAGAATCACAGCTAGCTGTAGCTGTGACCCTTCTGTCGCCCCTCTGCGCACTCTCCAGAAGGCACCGCACAGCATCCTGGAGCTCAGCACACTTTGTGGCAACTGGCAAGTGGCCAGCGTGAGAGGGGGAGGGACCAGAGGGTGTGGGGAAGTGGGGTAGGGGGTGTTGAGATGGGGGGGCTGGCTGAAGCCCGTGCTACCAGCATAACCCTGTCTCTGCAGCGCCCAGCTGGGCGCCGCCCCCTCCTTCAGCAGCTCCCCAGTTTGCCTGTCGCACTTGACACGGGCTGACAACACAGGCTGCTCTTTCATCCTCCCCAGCAGCGCCTTGGGGATGCTGCGGGCACCGGGTATCCCCAGGTGTCCAGGATTCCCGCTTCCCGGGATCTAAATGGAGCCCCCCCTCCCCTGCCCCGCCTCCCCCTCTTCCTGACCCGCTCCCGGGGCTGCCGCTGGTCGCTTGGGGACTAAAAGCATCCGGGGACAGAAGCCCGGGCGACACCGAGGGGAAATGAGGGGGACCGAGAGAGGCTCCAGCTGAGTCTGCGTCCCCCTCCCCCCAAGCCCAGTCCTGCCGGGGAGGGAGGGGAAGGGCAGGGGGCTGCCCATCTGTCACCTCCCCAGGAAGCCTTCAGAAACTGGGCATCATCTCCGCGCCAAATTCGGTTCTAGAAATAACTTTTTCTTTTTTTTTTCTCTGTCTCCAGATATTCCCAACAAGGGGCAGGCCCCTTACTCACCCCAGACAGCTCATGGTGGCCTCTTTCGGTGGCCTCCTATGCTCCGCTGCAGAGCCGCAGAGCCGAGATGCTGCGCCCCGGCTGGTGGGGGCAGGGGGGTGGTGGCCAGCCCTGTCCCTGACATTGGCCAGGCCCAGAGGGAGGGGCAGGCTTCGGGGAGAATGGCAGCGAGGGGAGGGGGCTGGCTGATCCCCGCAAGGGGGAGGGGTGGGGAGGTGGGGACAGTGGAGGGGAAGGGAGGAGGACGACACAGACTGAGGGAGAGAGAAAGCCAAGCAGGACCCGACTAGGGAAAGCCCCAGAGCCTGCCTGAGCTAAACTGGGCAGCACTAAGGCCCTCAAGGAATGGAGGTGGGCTCCAGAGATTCCTGGGTCACCTGGGGTCACTCCAGATGAGAACTTCCCAGTAATTTTTTTTTTCTTTCTTTCTAACAAACTTAGAGTGGGTCCTTTAGCAGAAGAGCAGAAAAAGTACGTAACTGACCAGGTTCAAGGTCCTGTGGCTGCCACTAATTTTTGTTGTATGGTTTTGGGCCAGCCTCTGAAACTCTCTGAGCCTCAGTTTGCCTCTGTGAGGTGGGATTCATAATGACACTGGAAGTCCTTGACACATACCTAACACCATCATCAGGAGGCACCAAAGGGCAGCCAAGCATGGAGGCTCACCTCTGTAATCCCAGCTACTCAGGAGGCAGAGATAGGAAGATCAAGGTTCCAGGCCAGCTCCATGGGAAAAAGTGCATGACCTTATCTGAAAAATAACTGAAGCAAAAATACCTCGGGGAGTGGCTCAAGTGGTAGAGTGCCTGCCTAGCAAGCACAAGGCCCTGAGTTCAAATCCAGTACCAAAGAGCAAAGCAAAAAAAAGTGGATTGGGGGCCAGCTCAAGAGTAGGTACCATCTCCATCCCACCCTGCTGGTGGTATTGTAGGTTAGTGGTGGGAGACAGATCAACCCTGCATGAAACCCACCTGGCCTGCCCATCCTGCCCCCCACAGAAGTACCTGAGGTTGTCCAGGAGTGGCCCCCAGGCCTCACAGGGCAGTGCCAGGGTAAGAGCCCACACCAGCTCATCTACCCGCTGTTCTGTTGCAAACTGCTTCAGGGCTGTGAACACCTGCTCCTTGGCAATTGGCTGGTCTCCCAAGATTTCGTCCACCTGTAAGGAAGGATCAGTGCAAATCATTCATCTCTTGCTCTTCCTCCCTCAGTTTACCTCCACAGGATAACTGACATTTCTGACCTGGCTGCCCTCAACTTGGGGATGGTATCTTCCTTTTACATCCAAGCAAACTGAGGCTGATAGAAGCAAAGCGACTTGCAATTTCCAGGAGGGACAGTTCATAGAATCAACATGGGTTACAAGGTTATGGAATCAGGATTCAACCCCAGGCACAGCCATTCGAATGAAAATTCTAAGGATCAAAGGAGAGCCAGGCATGGTGGTTCACGCCTGTAATCCCAGCATTTGGGAGGCTGAGGCAGGAGGATCTAGAGTTCCAGGCCAACCTGGGCTACATAGTGAGACCCTTTCTCAAAAAAGTAAATAAATAAATAAATGAATGAAAAGAGGAAAGAAAAGAAAGGATCAAAGGAGTCAATACAAGAGCTTAACCATGTGTCACGTCACTCCCTAATTGCTAGTTACTATTCTTATAACACTATGCTCCATTCTGTGGGACTATTTGCTGAGAAATCCCACAGAGAATATTCTAGCTCGATAGAAACAGTGTGGAAGGCATGCTCCAACCTTGAATTTTTACTCTCTTTCTTCTCCCTCTAGACTTTTTTTGTTCTCTATGCACAGACTATCTGATACTTCCTCAAAATGCTATTCAAAGGAATGTCTGGCCATCAAACATGGCCCTGAAATGTTCATGATGTTTCTGGAAGGTGGCTCCTTGAATATGTCAAAAGCCTATTCTTTTTTAGAGACAATAGCCCAAGCTGGCCTTGAACTCATAATTTTCCTGTGTAAGCCTCCTGAGTGCTGGGATTACAAGTGTACACCAGCATGCATAGCTAAAACCCATTCTTTTGGCCCTCGTGCTTGCTAGGCAAGCTCTCTGCCACTTGGGCCACAACCCAACTAAAACTCCTTTTACTTTTAGTTTGTTTTTCAGATAGGCTATGAGGCTAACTTTGCCCAGGCTGGCCTCAGACTGTGATCCTCCTACCTCCCAAGTAGCTGGGATTACAGGTGTGAACCATCAGACCTTGCTAAAATCTGTTCTTTTACTCAATGATCTGACATCTAGGAATTTATGCTAGTTGTGTCCTAACAAGACAGGTGTATAATGATGTTTGAGGAGGTTTACCTTGGTTTTGTTACAATACTTAAATGTTGGAAGTAATATAAAAATGCAACAATATGTCCTAGATAATTACAACATATGCATGAAGGGAATATTACCTCTTTGTTATTCAGCCACGAAGAGAAGAAATCTCCCCAGTCCTAGCTATTCAGGAGGCAGAGATCAGGAGGATGGTGGCTGGAAGCCAGCCTGGGCCAAATAGTTTATGAACCCCTACCTTGAAAATACTCAACACAAAAAAGGGCTTAGCAGTGTCTCAAGTAGTAGAGCATCTGGCTAGCAAAGTGAGGCCCTGAGTTCAAACACCAGTGCCACAAAAAAAAAAAAGAAAGAAAGAAAAAAGAGAAAGAGAAAGAAGTTCTGTGGGTTATGTTGTAGCTCTGCCCAATTGGAGGCTCTTTGACTGTTTGACTGAAGGAATGATGGAGAAATGCAAAGGCTGCGCTGGGTGGTGACAGGGCCCCACAGCAGGCACTGAAAAGACTCTTCTGGAAGGGTTCTTTAGGACAGCCATGCTGGCTGGCAATCCTCTCTCAGTCTTCAGCATTAATTACTGAACTGCTTCTCCCATAAATTCCTTTCCTGCGTAAAACAATGGAGTCAGTCTCCATTATTTTGGTTATCTTAATTTTGTTTTTTTGAAGCAGGGTCTTGCCATGTAGCTCAGGCTATCCTGGAGCTCACTATGTTGCCTAAGCTGGCCTTGAATTCATTATTCTCCTGCCTCTTCCTCCCCAGTGATGGATTAGAGATGTGAGCCACCACTCCTGGCTTAACATGATTTTCTAGTTAAGTACACTCCATATTATCAACACTGTATGTGATGGATTTTAGGGTGAGCATTTCTTTATATTCAAACATCTCTGAAATCAGGATATGTCTTGTTACTGGATATTCTTATGCATGTGTGAATTTGGTAGCAGGTGTTAATATTGTTACTTCCACTGTTAAATGGTTTGGTGGTACTAAATATGTCTAACCAAGTTTAAAAGTCCTCTTTCTATAGTCAGGGCTGGTGGCACATGCCTGTAATTCCAACACACGGGAGGCTGAGGCAGAAGGATCAAGAGTTTGAAGCCAGCCTGAGTTACACAGCAAGAGCCTACCTCAAAAAAAAAAAAAAAGTCCTCTTTTGCTGGTGTGATGACTTATACACCTGTAATCCCAGCTACTTGGGAGACAGAGAGTAGGAAGATCATGGTTCAAGGCCAGCCTGGGTAAAAAGGCATTGAGACCCCATCTCAACAAAAAAAATAGCTGGGAGGAAGCACCTATCATCCTAGCCATGAGGGAGGATAAGTAAGATGATTACAGTCTAAGGCTGGCCCAGGGCAAAAAAACATAAGACCCTCCCTGAAAAATAATACAACCAAAAAGAGCTGGGGGTGAGGCTCTAGTGGTAGAGCACCTGCCTAGCAAGTGCAAGGCCCTGAGTTCAAATCCCAATACCACACATACACAAACAATCCTCTTTCAATAACTACTAAATTAAATGTTAAGGAAGAAGGAAATGTGTCATGGGCTGATGGTGGAGTTTTTTGTTTTAGTGTTAAGTTAAAGTGCATGTTGCAGTGGATGGTGTTGTAGATTTGACACCATATGGTACTATTTGACCAGTGAGAACGATAGAATGGTGTCATAAATCTTTAAAACCCTGACATGGAGAGTGATGGCTAAGGGATACCAGGTTTCTTTCTGGGATATCACACTGTCTAAAATTGACAGCTATGGTGGTTGCACAATTATGCACATACTAAAAATCACTGAATCGCAAATATATCATACAATGTAGCCATTTAAAGTATGTACTCCATGAGAGCCTTCTTTCTCTGCATTCCCACACTCTTTTCCTGCCATGTGTTTGTCTTTGGTTTACAGATCTAAAGTCACTAATCAGGGAGTCTTTCCTGGCCATCCTGTCAAAGTGGCTTCCATCTCCCTCTCCTCTCACTCTGTTTACTACCTCACTTCCTTTATCGTTATCTGGAACTGCTCACTGGAGAAGACCATGCTTCTTGTCTTGTCTTTTTGTTGTTGGTGATGGTGGCACCGGGGTTTGAACTCAGAGCTTTGCACTTGCTCTACCATTTGAGCCATGCCCCTAGCCCTTTTGCTTTTAGTTTGCTTTTCAGAAAGGGTCTTGTGCTTTTTCCCAGGCTGACTTCAGACCTCCTACCTATGCCTCCTGAGTAGCTGGGATTATAGATGTGGACTGCCATGACCAGGTTGGCTTTTTGGTTTGCTTTTTTTTTTTTTTGAGACAAGGTCTTTCTATGTAGGTCAGGCTGGCCTCAAACTCACAATCCTCCTGCCTCAGCTTCCCTAGCTCTGGGACTACAGGCAAGTACCACTATGCCTGACTTCCCTATCTGTCTTGTTCATGGCTGCTTTCCCCGTGCTGCACATCTTAAGCCATAACCAATGACTACTAAATGCAAAGTTTCAATATGCCTACTTCCTCCTTCCTGTCAGCTTATGTAAATGTTCAAGTCTCTTCCAATATAAGTAAGTAAATAAATAAATTTCCCCTTGACCCCTCAACCTGATCATTCTCTTCCATTTTCTAGTTCAGAGCTGTCTACAGGTGCTCTTTCCATATTGCCGCCCTTACCCACTGTAGTCCCCGCCTCTACTTTTAGCACTGTGCCTCTAACTCTGACCCTGCTCTGATTACTGTCCTCAAATGGTGACTGTCAGATCTTGATCTTTGGCCCAGAGTTCCTGAACTTCAGAACTGTTTATCTGACAGTTTATTTATTTATTTTGCAGTACTGGGTTTGAATTCAGGCCCTCACACTTGCTAGGCAGGCACTCTTACCACCTGAGCCACTCCACCAGCTCTGTTTCATGATGAGTTTTTCGAGCCTGGGGCTGGCTTTGAACCTCCATCCTCCTGACCTCTGCCTGCTGAGTAGCTAAGATTACAGGTATGAGCCACCAGCACCTAGCTAGCTGTTTTCTAAGTGACTCCACCTGAGGATTATGACAGGCCCTCCAGAGTTATGACCTAGAGAGGATGAGCAGGCCTTAGCAGGGGTTTTGAGACATTCCACACATGTCTGAGTCACAGCACACTGACACCACGACTCTCTGTCCCCCTCCCCCGTCCCCAGATGATGACTCAATGTCTGATCCTGTCCAGCTCCAAGCCCAGGGCCTGGCATACTGCAGGCACTCAGTGCCTGTTTATGGCACTGAACCAAAGAGTGGCATTGCACTGCATTTCCTGCAAGCCACCTGCTGACTGCTGTTGTCCTCCCAGGAGGCTGCAACAGCAAGGCACACCCTCCCCATACCCCTGATGTGCAGCAGAGGGCCGAGGGTTTGAAGCCAAACTCAGCCAGCAGCGGCCTCGATTCAAAGGCTGAACTGCAAAGATGCTTTATGTAAGAAAGAGGAAAAAATAGTTCCCCCTCCTGGGGCCAGGGCCACAGTGTGGTTTCGATGTCAGTTTTTACCCAGATGTTCTCAACCTACATTTAAGCATTGGCACCATCACGGGACACTAATTTTCTATTAAATATCTGCTACGTCAAGGAGGAAAAACTAGGGCAGACAGAGTGCTGGCAGGAACTAGAGAGGCCGGTTATTGAAAACTAGCAGGGGCCCCATCCAGAAGCCCTGGCATCTTCCACAGGCTGTTTTTTATAGGGATTCACTCACTTTTGGGGAGCTGCATGGTGAACCCAAAACATAATCTACCACTCCCTGTTGCCAGAAAACTCATCAGAGTTGGCCTGGCAGCTTGACGGATTTATCCTTAGCCAACCCTGCCTGGTTCATGGCCAGGTCTGCCTGTCCACGCTGCCCCGACAGTGCCCATTTCTGAATCTGTAGGAATTAGATGAAGTCTTAGGGTCTCTGGCAGGTCATCTGGGATGGTAGCAGACATTGCTAATTCTCACCAATATTTCTAATTCTTCCTCCTTGTCCTGGACACACAAAAGACTACATTTCCCAGCATTCTTAGGGAGGAGCAATGTGACCCATTCTGTTCATTCAAGGAGCATGAATGAACAGGACTGTTGGAGGACCTGAGCCACATTTTCCAGTCACACTTCCTCTTCCATGGGGAACCCTGAAGCTTCAAGGGGAGATGGGAGAATCTGGAATGCTGAGGCCTCATATGGACATCAAGTCACTCAGAAAAGTCGCCTGGACCTTGAAAGGACTTCGTGTGGATGAAGAGTGAATCTTTACAAGTGCAAGTTGGTGTGTTTGTTATAGCAGCAGAACCTACTCTGAGTATAGGAAAAAAGGCACAACTTTTTTTTTTTTAATGGTACTGGAGATAGAACCCAAGGCTTTGCACAAGCTAGGTGAGTGCTTCCTATCACTAATTTACACTCCCTCCCCCCGCCCCGCCAAGTCCAAACTTTTGAGGAGCTCTTCTCAAAGTCCTGCTTTGGCTTCCAAAGTATTTGGAACTACAGGAACACATCACCTGGCCTGGCAAGCTATACACCTAGTGCACTTTATTGCACACTTACAGTAGCTCAATTTAAAAAACAAGTGGACAAAAATTACAAAATCAGGTACAGGCACTTGAAGCTTGAGTATCGTCTATTTCAGGTAAATCTGTCTCTAGAAAAGTTAGCGCAACTCCAGCCCGTGGAAGCTAAGCGCAGCGCCCCGCCCACACCTGCTGGCCACGCCTACCACACTGGCCACGCCCCTGCGCCCTACCTTGTGGCTGAACTCCTGGGCTTTGCGCCTGCGCTCTCGGTGTACAGTATCCGGCCGCTGGCGGCCAGCCAGGCGCAGCAGCTCGCGGCCCAAGGCAAGGCCGAGGCGGGAACGCAGGCCCCGCCAAGCTGTGGCCAGAGTCGTGGGGCCGCCCTCGGGGCCCGGGAGCACGCCGAGACTGGGTGGCACACGAGGGCAGCGCCGTGCCAAGGACACAAGGCGCTCGCGGCTCAGGCCGCCCACGGCCAGCCCCTCCACCTCCAGGATCTGGTCCCCGGGCCGCAGCCCCCCGGCGTATGCGCTGCTCCCCTCGGCCACATCCAGGACGAAGCAGGGCCCAGAGCCACCCAGCCGGAAGCCGAAGTCCTCCGGCCAGCCCTGGTTGGTGGCCGGCATGACAGCCGTGGTAGTGAGGCTGGAGAGGGAGAAAGAGACAGCACGGATTCCCTGTGGCCCTGTCCAAGGAGACCCAGACTAGTCTGCTGTCTGCCTCCTCCCTCTATGTCTTTGTCACAGTGTCCCTCCATGTGTCTACACTTTTCACCTTCCCCATTTAGCAGTCCTGAAATTCATATGGACGAATGGTGGACGATGGGGCCCAAGAGGAACGCTATTAGAGGGGAAGGTCAGACGGACAGTGGGAGCACCTGCTGGACACAGATGGGTCTCACACCGCAGAGGCAGCCTTTGGAGGGTGTGACAGCTGTGACAGGCGTGTGACCCCTAGAAAAGAGGGTAAAAAAAGCTGAGTGTGTTGGTGCAGGACTGTCATCCAAGCACTGGGGGAGGCTGAGGCAGGAGGATTGCAAGTTCAAGGCTATCTTGGGCTACATAGAGAGAGACCCTATTACAAAAAAAAAAAAAAAAAAGGTTGGCGAGAACTGTGATTACTTCCACAGTGCTCCAGATGACATCAGTAACCAAGGTGGGGGGTCTCTGAAGACATCCACTCATTTCTCTATTGTCCCTAGCTCTGGAATTTGTGTTTGTGTGTATGATCAAGGTTTGAACTCAGGGCCTCAAGCTTGCTAGGCAGGTGCTCTACCACTTGAGTTACACCCCTAGCCCTTTTTGCTTTAGTTATTTTTTCAGATGGGGTCTTGTGTTTTTGCTTGGGGCCTGCCTTGAACTTCAATCCTCCTACCCACAGCTTCCTACACAGATGAGACCACAGGCATGTACGAACACACTCAACTTGTTTGTTGAGATGGAGTCTCACTAATTTGCCCAGGCTGGCCTGAACTGTGACCCCCCTGATCCCTACCTCCTGAGTAGCTGGGATTATAGGCACAGACCACAGTACCCCGCCCTTTTATTATTTTTTTTAAGAAGAGGCTATAGCTCAGTTGGAGAACACTTGCCTAGTATGCACAAAGTCCTGGGTCTGATCCCCAGCACTAGATTAAAAAAAAAAAGGAATTTGTGTGCCCAAGTCACAAGGAAGTCCTTTTGTCACATGGAAGTGCGGTGAATTTCAGGCATGTGCATCCAGGGGTTTAGATAGAAGGACTGGTCTTTAGTGGCAAGATGTGGCTACACCCCAAACCTGCAAGTCCTAGCATCTAATAAGTCAGGGTCAATGCATCACATCCAAAAGGGCGCTAAAGAGCTGTCCTTGGGATGCTCAGACTGGGATAGAGAATCCCCACGGCACTACCAGGGCCATATATAACTGCTTTTTCTTCTAAAAGCCCTGACAGGGCAGAGGGGGGGCTTGCCAAGTGGCCACTCTACTCTATACCCTGTACCCTACAGTGTAAGTGGGGGTGGCTGTGTGGGCCTCCTCAAGAAAGGCAAAGCACTTTAGACACAGATTTCAGGATTTCATCATAGATGGTGGAGGAGTCACTATAGTGAGAGTTTTGGGGGGCTGGCTCTGCCATTCCCCAGAGGGGTGACCTTGGATTAGGGCCCTCCCAATCCAAGTACAGACACTTCACTTCCTGGGTCTGGGGACATTTATAAAACCTCCTCCTGGAATTTGAATGGACTCTGAGTTATCTTCCTATTCCAACATCCTGGCCTTCTGGAAAGGTCTGATTCACACAAGACTCTGAAAAGAGGATTTTGGCAGATCTAGAAAGGACTAGAAGAGGGATGAGGGGGAGGGAACAGTGAGGAAGGAGGGGATTGGGTGTACAGTGGAAGCCAGACAGTAAAAAGGTCCCCTGGGAAAAGGTGTGACTTCATCTATTAAAACTCAAAGATTTTAAGGAAGAGCCATTTGTCTTTTACATCCACAAAAAAGAAATGTTTTAAAATTATAAAGTCCAGCCAGGCGCCAGTGGCTTATGCCTGTAATCCTAGCTACTCAGGAGGCAGAGATCACTCACAGTTCGAAGCCAGCCCAGACAAATAGTGTGATGCCCTGAGTTCACACCCCAGAACTGCCAAAACATGGGAGGAGGCAGCTGTGAGACTCTCCTTCTGGACCCCTTGGGGAAAAATGATACTGCTGACTTGGAGTCTCTGGGCTCCTGGCTGCAGACAGTCTCAGAAGAGGCGGTATCTATCCTCCAAAAGAGACCTGAAGTGTGGGCTAGTGTGGTATCCCGGCCATTGTGGATGGAAGAGTTTAGGTGTTTGTTTCTGTCATTCTGTCTGTTTACAGGGGACCACAGAGGGGCTCTGGCATTGTAAACTGTACGCTATGTGAAGGCTTATTGTCCTGGCCCATGTCTGACGGCTCCCTGGCCTGGGCTTAGCGGGATGTCTAAGGGCTGGGTTATGAAGGCCCTGGACTCAGGTGTCCTTCAGCCCTTGTGGGAGTCACACTTCCCTAGGAGGCCTGGGGAACACTTCCTGGAAGCTGGAGGAGGGGAGGACACCCAGGATTCCAACAACATGACGAATTCGGAGGAAATATCGCTTGGGTAACATCCAGTGAAAAGCCTGTGTCACCTAGCTCCCAACAGACAGAGCACGCTGGGCAGGGTGGAAGCTCTTGCCCCCTGAGTCTGGCAGGATCCGCCCTGAACTTAGCCCAGGTTCAGTGCTTCAGACTTCAGTGCTGCCCAAAAAGTGTGGAGCCTTGGGAACACTTCCTCTATCACTTGTCAAAGCACTGGGCTTGTGGCATCTACACATCTTGGAGGAGCCTGGTGTCAGTTCTTGTACCATGAGAGCAGAGGTCTAAATGGATCATAACCTTCCAGAAGCCCGAATGGTGGAACAGGAAGAGGTGCCAGAGCCCACTCATGTCCCAGGAGGAGGTGTCAGAAATCCCCTAGACCCAGGAAGTGGAGTGTCTGCACCTTACGCAAGACAGGAGGGTCCTAAGCCAAGGATGTCCTTTGAGAGATGGCAGGCTCTTACAACAGTGCCTTCACTGGCTCTTCAAACCTCTCTTTCCAGACAGCTCAATACAGAGAGGCTGGCTGGATACTGAATGTTTCTGGGGTCCACACTCCCTCCCCCACAAATGCACTCCCCTTCTAACCAGCACACCCCCACTGGGTGGCACAGCTGCCTGGCAGAAGCCAGAGAAGTTAACCTTAACCCATCTGCATCAACCTGGGGGCTCCATGAGGCCCCCATGGTTTCCAAACCGGTCACATCCTCTAATACGTCCCCAGCTCTACATCTAAGCTCTCCCCCTCCCCCACCCACAGCCCCAAGGCTGGACCACTCTCTCCTCCTGCACCAGCCCAAGGCTGACTGGGCTAGCTCAGGGTACAAGCAAGTGGCACCCAGATTACTAGGTGTTGTATCCACTCCCCACATTTGCTTACCTTCCACGCTGATGACTGTGGTGGTCACAGAACACAAAGCACAGTGCTCCTGGAACACCTAGGGACACTCACTTGTTGCTGGCCTTCTGCTCAGAGCCTTGGTGTGGGTTACTGATGCGCCCAAGGGGACAGCTGGAGTTTCTAAGGCAAAGCGATCCTCTGTAACCTGAGAAGCCACCCCCACCCCCTCAACCAGGTGGAGCAGCAGGATGGCTGCTTGGCCAAGACCCAGGCTGGCTGGCCCCCACTGCACAATCCTGGGGGACAAGCCAGGCAGAAATGAAGACTTACTGGGGTTAGGTCTGCGGCCTGTCCACCCATGAGACCACAGGACTTGGCAGGTGAGTGAAGAGACTTCATCTTGGTTGTTTGGGAGAGGGCAGAGGTCGTCAGTTCACTGGGACCAGTGACAGTAGAAGGAACTGGGGAGACCAATAGGGGAAGGGATCCAGTTCCCACAGAGAATACCACAGTGGGCTGGATTTATTGGCAGGAGAAAGGGAGACCCAGGCCAGAAAAAAGCAATTTGGGTGGGGGTAAAGCTGCTGACCTGTGAATTTTGGAAATGAGTAGAGTCCAGAAAAGGAAAGGCAAAAGGAACTACACGTAGCTCTATGCCCTACTTGCTAAAGTTGTCTCCCACGAGGGTATAAGTGGGAATCACACCACGCATGCAGACTGGAGTTGAGCAATTTAGTGAGTGAGTGGTGAGGACCAAGTTTCTTTGCTGGAGTGGGAGGTTATAGATGAACCAAGGTGGTATGACTGGAATGATCCATGTGGTACTGGATAAGAACTGGAGGCATCTCTGTGAGCCCATGTTTAGCTTGATATAAATACAGATAGATACATCTAGAAAGTTTTATAGACTTGTATAGGTGCATAGACGGATATATGCATATGTGTTTGTCTGTTCTATCAGCTGAGAAGGCCTAGAAGCAAAGATACCCCAGTAGCAACATGCCTGGCCAGTGCCCAGGTCTATTTTTTTTTTTTGTGGTTCTAGGGTTTTGAACTCAGAGCCCTGTGCTTGCTAAGAAAGTCTGCTACCACTTCAGACACATCCCCAGCCCTTTTTGCTTTAGTTTATTTTTCAGATCATGTCTCTGGCTTTTGCCTGGACTAGCCTCGGACTGCAGTCCTCCTACCTCTGCCTCCTGAGAGGCTAGGATTACAGGCGTATGCTACCATCCCAGCCAGTGTCAGACCTTGATTTTGAATATAATTCCAACTGGAGGCATGGCTCAAGTGGTAGAGTGCCTACTTTGCAGATATGAAGCCCTGAGTTCAAACCCCAGTCCCACCAAAAAAAAATGTAATTTAGTACCCTTCCCTCCAAAAAGGAGCCTGGACTCTGTGGAGAAATGGCTGATTCTAGGACTAGGGTAGGGAACATATAAGCAAGCCTGGAGAATCTTCTAGTGCCAGAAAGTAAGGAAGTGCTAAACACACATAGTCACAGACACTGGGCTTGTCAAATGAACACAGAACCCTCCTGAAAGCTCTCCCAGTGACCACAGATGGAACAATTTGGCCTGATACAGTTTTGCACATCTGCAATCCCAGCTACTTGGGAGGCAGAGGTAGGAGGGTCATGGCCCAAGGACAACTGGGCAAAAGTGTGAGACCCTATCTGAAAAGTAACAACAACAACAACAAAAAAGTAACTGG